GCGCCGGCACTGGCTCGCCATCTCTTCCACTTCCCCCTTCCTATAAGCCATCCTGCTTCCTCCAGGGCATTCCTACCTAAGGACCTAGGACACGGGGCCAGGAAAGCACAGAGTACGCAGTTTCCCTGCCGCTCCCGGGAGCGGTGAGGCCTTCCTGTCACAGGTGCACAATTCTGCCCACATTGGACCAGGTGTTACTCTAAGACTTAAGAGAACGATTCTCTCTTTACCAGGCAAGAAGGGATTCAGTTCGCTTCTCCTAAACTTGGGGGACCAAAGGCTCTGGGAACTCGCTGCCCTGACTTAGAGACACAAGTTGTTCAAAGACCCCTGCCCGATGAGCTCCCACCACCAACTCCCCTCTCCACCTCCTTCCTGTTTGTACCTACTGAGGCTGTCCCAGGAGAGAGAGAGCGGGGGCTCATGTCCACTGTAATGGGAACTAGAGAGGGCAGTATGCCTCTCCTTTTGACAGTTAACCCTTGACTTTGAATCAGATCCCACTTCTCTCTGAATTGGAGGAGTGAGATGGGGATCTCTTGAGAAACCAATTTTCAATTACATTATTATTCCCTTGGCTCGAAGACTAACCCTAACATTCATAAAAGCCAATTACAGGGCAAGCGGAGAGAGAGCTAATACAGTATTTTAAATTACTATATACCTATCATCCACAGTCCCACATAGACTCAAAGTCATAGATATATGGCTAAATCAACAACAAAAGGCTCACTATTAAATTCTTAATTCAGAGATTTATCAAGCATGGCATTTTACATGCTACAGTGTCTGAGATTTTTGTTTATTACCTGAGAATCCCAGCAACAGTACAAACAGACGATAGTCCTTAGTTTCCTAGAAATGAACAAAACACCCTGTCTTATTTTAAACACGACGCCACCTGTCTCTTCTGGCTCCAATTAAATGAGAAAGTACAAAAATGTGGCATGACCAGAACAAGAGATTACAGTCAAAAACGAGTGCATTAACAAACACTTTTCTCTGTTGATTTCTCGTGAAATAACATTTCTATGTTCTTGCATTAAGTGAATTACACATCAGTAAGTGTGTGTCCCACCTCAGTTCTAAGAACGATTGTTTTAAGTAACTGAACATTTGCCAAAAGATCAAGTGGACCGGAGGCAAAGGTCAAATACACCAGCCCAGTGACCAACTCGCTCTGCTCAGAGACCGTTGGTGAAGGGGCTTTAATAGCTACAAAGAAGCAACCGTGTATGTTGCAAGTTTCAGCTGGATCATGATGACTTTGTCATAATCTCAATTCTCCTGCACCCCAGACCTGTGAGTTATGGGAGCGACGACAAGGGCATACAATGGGAACCCAGCTTTAATGGAGAACAGCCACAATGCGGGGCAGTGACCCAGGAAGAGAGCACTCGTAGGTGTAAGCCTGAGCCGTGTTTCGGGAGGCAGACGAGGCGGGTGGTTAAGTACTGGTTTTGGGTGGAGCCACGCTGCCGGGGCTGGAATCCTGGCCACCACTTCTTAGCTGGAAACTTTGAGCAAATTCCATAACCTTTCCGAGCCTCAGAGTGGTGGTTGTAAAGATTACATAAGACTACCCACGGGCAGTGTCTCTGTGGCCAGCACCGTGAGGAGACCTCAAATGCCCACCGCTCCCGTGGCAAGGACACCACGGGGTGCCACAGGTGGCCACCCACTCCGGGGAGCCAGGGGAAAGGTGATTTTCAAATGCATAACTGTGCCAATCAAAGATTGGCAAAGATTTCTACTTAGCCACAACACTCAGTGCCAGAATTTACATTTTATTTGGCATTTAATCCATCTCACAGATGGGGCAAACAGGGTAAAAGTGGGGCAAACAGGCTGGCAAGAGAATACCAACTATGGACCGTTTGGTTTTAGGCGTTCTGTCGCGTGTGTTTTTAATTGTAGCGTTTGGGTTTTGTTTGTTTGCTTTTGTTCCTAGGCCTTCGACCTATCTTTTAAAGAAGGGAAATATTTCTCTTTAAGGTTACAACTAGCACACAAAGGACCCCTTCTCCTCCTTGGCACCCCCTGGCCACTGCCAGCACCCCCTCTGCTCGTTGTCTAAGTCCTTGAGAGCAGAGGCTTGGAAGGCACTGGTTCTAGAATAAGATCACAATTCCTAGCACCCTCTGTAGTCTGAGTTGAGGAGGGAATGTATGCGCACTCCCCGCCCCCCCACCCCGATTCTCATCGCTCTCCCGGCCAGGGCCCAGCTGCCTGGTCCTTAGCTGTTCTGACCTACCCCCTCTCCCTTTAAACACAGAAGTGCTCACCAGGTAAACTCACTTGTCTACCGAGTGTGGTACCTATGAGTGCCCAAGGGAACGAGGCAAAGACAGAATTCGGTGGATCAAAAGCAGCTGCTTTGTACATAAAGTCATCCTTGAATGGCTTTGGAATAATGTATTCCATGGTACTGAGGAACACATCTTTTTGTTAGTAGAAAGGTCTAGGTGGGAAGTGGGAAATCTTGTACAGGTTTGCACATGACTTGGTTCCGATAAAAAAGGGATAAAAATAACTCCTCATGGTATAAGGTAATGACACTAATAATACCCTCTGAGTGAGCTAACCTTTGAGAGCTTACAATGCACTATGCATGGCACTAAGCTATTTACATGTAATAAAGACAACAGCAAAATTCAAACATATTGGCCATTACCATTATTTGGAAACTTTCTGTTTAGCATTAGACTCTTTTTCCCCAACAAAATCTTACTCAGAACAGCACATAAAACAAGAACGGGGCAGGGACAGAGCTGCACTCTGTGTCGCTAGAATGAGGGCACATGACTGATGGGTCCCCCATTCCACACTGGGCGTTCCTGCCACCCCAGGCGAGCGCCTAGGGACCACCATGGGGTCCTGCGGGTCCAGGTGGCCTGGTTGAAAACCTGCAGGCTTTTGTGTGAAGACCCACAACAGAGTCTGAACCAGTCGTAACAGTTAATGACCCTGAGGCTGACCCCGAGGCACCAGGAGCCAGGAAGAATGTGGGGCACACATCCCCTCTTCAAACACCAGACTGCCAAAGGTATGCTAAGGATTTTGAGCTTCTCTTACAGAGGGTGGGTCTCCCCTGCTTCCTCTTTCCTCCTGGGCCTTGTTGGGGCCTCAGGGCATTGCACCAAATGATCTGGGGTGCCACTTCCCATTCCAATTCTCACAGTGTCTTTCCCATAATATGGTGCACAAATGTTCAGTTCATGATGCTCAATAACCAAGCACTGAAAAAGAATTAGTAAAAATGGCTACCCAAAATGCTTTCCATTCTCTGCCCGTTCTGTGGGTTTCCTCTGGTTGCTGTCCATTTGGTTTTCATTGTCAAGTATTACTTATTAGCATTTGCTATGATTTCGGAAGTGAGTCTACGACTCCCTCTTACCAAAAGAGGGGTAGGTAAAAATAACTTGCCCCCATCCTAGCTTTCGCAATTGACTCGAAAGCGTTTTCACCCCCAAACATGATTGGTAAAGAAGGGAAACTATGCTCCTAAATCCTCAGAGGTTATGTGGTTATGTTTTGGAGGGGAAAAAAAAGTTTTCCATAACCTGATCCTTGAATCACATTCTTGCCCTGTGCACAGGCACTGCGGTCCCCACAGGCTGGAGCTGAGGAAAGAATTCTCTCTGAGCTCCCAGTGCTGGCACACCTTGAACTTGATGCATCGGAAGGAAAAATGCCTGGTTGTTAGGTTAAGCCCAGAGTAGGCACCTTTCTGCCTCCCAAACCAGCTTTCTCCTGCTGAGCCCAACTCCATTTCCACCTTTGCTTTCTCTCCTAAAATACGGCAAGGGGGGGGGGGGGGAATCCACATCATAAGAGGTTCAAATGAATGCACCCACAGGAAATATTTGGCTAATTCTGTAATAATTCAAGGTGCAGAAAGGTGGAAAAATGAGTCCAATTTCCAAACTTTTGAGGCTGGGAGGTAAGTTAGTTACAGAAGTCTAGACTGGGAGGGGCCTTAGGGACCAGTTACCCCAACGGCTGTGGCTCCTGGGCACAGCGTCCTGGGCAGAATGAGGTCTAGAACTCATGTCCAGACTCCCAGAACAGCACTGTTTCCACCACACCCAGCAGCTTGCCGTGTGAATCAAAAGCTCCTGCTGGAACCGAGCACTCCATTTAATAACCAGGACTGGCACCTGCCAGCCTCCCATAAACGCTGCGGCGGCTGGAGCCCGAACCCTGCGCTTGTGAACAGGGGCGCTCCCCCACATCACCGGGAGGGTCACACCCCTGCGGGGGCCACCAGACAAACACGGGGAATGTGCTCAGCGCTGAGAAGCGGCCACGGTCGTCTTCCTCGGAGCTGGGCCCGGAGGGCACCCGGAGGGGGGTGTGGGGGGGAGGAGGAAAACCCCCTTCACTCCCACCCCAGCTACCCACGCAGACGCGCCCACACGCCCGGACACAGGGGCCGCGCCCCCACCCCGGCCGCCAGGCTTGCGCGCGCGACCTGTGCCACCGTGTGCGGCCGCTCCTGTCCTCGGTGGCATTTCTGTTCAAAAGCCAGTTTTTCTCTGCTGTTCAGCACGTCTCGACCGCTGCGAAGGTGTGGGCCACATCCTCCGCCGGCAAAGCGCGAAACGCGGCAACGTCCCCCGCACCCACCGCCCCGGCAACAATCAAGTTCTCGGAGGGGACACCGAGAAGGGGGCGCTGAGCCCCCACCCTCCTCCCAGGAACCCGCCCTCCCTGCCCGGGCAGGTCGCTCGCGGCCTCGACTCAGATCTGCTTCCCGAGGGCGCGTGCCCATTCAGACGCGCGGCGACCTCCGTCCCCGACGGCAGCCCCGACCCTGCCGGGGGTGTTTGGGGGGCAGCCCCCTGCCTTGGGGCGCCCCGGACCTTCCAACCCTCAGCGCGCAGGCCTCGAACCCCAGCCCCGGGGACTGCCCGCGGGGCCCCCTCCCCGCCCCCGGCCCGGGGCCCACCTGCGGTTGGCGCGCGCGGCCCCTCCCGCTCCCGCGCCCGCGCGCGCACCCGCGGGGGGCTTCTTTGCGCCGCCATGCCGGCCGCGCGCTGCGGTCGCGCGCGGAGCCTCCTCCGTGGGTCAGTCAGACGCCGCGGCCGCCCGCCGGCGCCGGGGATCGCTTCCCCGCGGCTGGCTGGCTCGCGAGGCGCGGGGTGGGGGCCGCGGTCGGCGCTCTCCCGCCCCGGGAGCCCGGGGCCGACTGACGCGCGGGTCCGCCAATGGGAGGCCGCGGCGGAGAGGGGCGGGGCCTCGGGCGGAGGTGGGCGGGGCCTGCGCGCCCAGACGGGGTCTACCGTGTGCTGCTGCTTCGGGCTGCGGGTGCGGCGCCGAGCGTGGGAAGCTGCTCCTCGGATCCCGGCGCTGCTCCTCGGGAGACGCCCTAGGAATTGCGCTTGGACGGATCCCGCCACCTCCCTGGCGCTTTACATCGAAAGCGCTTTGAGTGGGAATCGCAGAAACCTGGTGCGTGGGATGATGGGGGAAAGGGACAGGTGCCTGATCCCCTTCCACGGCGAAGGTGCAGAAGGACCCCCATCTCTGGCCGGGACGAGAACCCGCGGATGGGCCATGGCCATGGGAGGGCGAGACTGGAATCCAGACGTTGCTGCCGGCCCAGGGCCCCTTCCACTACCTTGGGTACATTTTTTTTTTTTTTCCAAATCTTTATTTTCCCCTAGGTCAGCAGAACGGGGTTATGCTTACTCAGAAGTCACAGGGTACTTTAGGAGCCGGAATATGTGCGTTATTGACAAGATTAATCCTCTGATAAAAGTGTTTATCAAAAGGAAAAAATAAACAGCCCAGTAGTAAAAAGGCGCTCACAAGTTTCTTTGCCCCTGGTTTTCTATTCAGAGGGACCCTTTTTCCGAAGAAAAAGGAAGAGAGTCAAAGTCCTGGTGAACTTTTTTCTCTAATATACCCAATTCCAGAGTGAAACAGATTTGTATGTGGCATGTTTTGGCACCTTTTAAAACAAATTCGTAACTAAAGAAAGACGTGGAAAACACTCTGGAATCTTAGATGGCTCCAGTATACTTACGGCAGCGTCAAAGTGTTGAATCACTTTCCCCTTTTCTGAATCTCAGAGCAAAGGATCACAGGTCTTTGGGAATTCCAGCAAAATTCTAAGAGCCACGGTGATTAATACAATGCATTTACTGACAGCTGACATCAGGCCAGGCACTTTGATAATCCTTTTATGTGTTATTTTGCATATCGTTTCACTTAATCCTCGCACTCACGCATGCGATAGGTTACTACCTCCAGTTTGCAGATGAGGAAACAGAGGCTCAGTAAATGCTAATGCAGAGGTTGAACCTGGGTCAGATCATTCTGACCCCATCATTCTGCAACCCATGATTCACAAAAGATAATAAAAATGTTCCCAAACTCTGCTGCGTGTTAAAAACAAAACAAAACAAACAACCTTTTATCCAAATCAAATTTTAACTTAGTGGGGCAGTTTCTGCAGCCATAGACCATGACTTGCGTATTCTGAGCCACGTTACTCATACAAAGTAAATGGCTTAAAATTGCTGTGCCTAATTATAATCTAAACAAGGTTATGAGCAGCGATGAGTAAAATTGTCCATTCCAGAAGCTGAAAATACCAAAACTAATTTCTTGTGGTATAATAAAATAGAATTTACTGAAGTCCTTTAACCACGAAACAAATTAGCCAGTAACCTTGCCCTACCTACTCCCACAAGATAATATTTATGAACACAGCTGTTCAGACTCTGCCTAAGATCCTTTCAAATAATTCACCACGGTCAGGATTTTGTGGTTTGCTGTAATGTTAATTGTTACTCCAAAAGCTGAGTGGGAGGCCTCTGAAAATGGTAATGTACTTACCTAGACCTAGACCTTGGAGCCAGACTGCCTGGCTTGGCTGCATACTAGCCACATGGTCTTGTACGATTATTGAACATTTCCATGTCTCAGTTTCCTCGCCTATAAAAGGGGGCTCCTGGGAGTACCTTCCCCATGAGGTTGTTAATCCCCATGAAGTGATGAACTATGTCCAAAACCCTTAGAGTAACGCTTGGCACATAATAAGCACCATATACATATTCGCCAAATAAAGGATGTGACCACATGCAGAGATTTTGGCTTTCTGGTCTACCCATGTGTGATTTACTACCCATCTTAACAAAACAAAAGCGTCCCGGAAATATTAAACCATAACTCCCCATTCTTCCTTCTCCCTCATCCCCAGCCCCCTAGCAAACAGCATTCTACTTTCTGTCTTTGGCTCCTTTCTGAATGTGACCACACCAGCGACTTCATACAAGTGGAATCACACAGTAGTTGTCTTTTTGTGACTGGCTTATTTCACTTAGCATAATAATGTCTTTACGATTCATCCATGTTGTAGCACATGCCAGAATTTCCTTCTTTTTAAGGGTGCCTGGGTGGCTCAGTCAGGTTTGAGCGTCTGACTCTTGGTTTCCGCTTAGGTCATGCGGGCGATTTTAGCCCCACATCGGGCTCTGTGCTGATGGTGTGGAGCCTGCTTGGGATTTTCTCTCTTTCCTTCTCTCTCCACCCCTACCCCACTCATGCTCGCTCGCTCTCTCTGTCTCGCTCTCACTGCTTCTCAAAATAAATAAATAAACTTTAAAAAAAAAGTTCCTTTTTTAAGTCTGAATTATATATTTCATTTTAGGTAGATAGAAAGATCACGCTTTGTTTATCCATTCATTCATCAATGGACAGTTGGGCTGCTTCGTCATTTTGACTACTGTAAATAATGCTGCTGTGAACATAGGTGTGTAAGTAACCTCTTTGTGAGTTTCTGCTCTCAATTCTTTTGGGTGTAAACCTAGAAATAGAATTGCTGCATCATATGGTAATTCTTACCTTTTTGGAGAACAGCCACACTGTTTTCCACAGCAGAAAACACTCCCACCAACAATGCATAGGATTCCAATTTCTCCACATCCTTGCCAGCAAGTCATTTTCTATTTTTTTATTTTGTTAAAGTTTTTTTAATGTTTTATTTATTCCTGAGACAGAGAGAGAGAGAGATTGAGAGAGAGAGAGAGCAGGGGAGGGTCAGAGAGAGAAGGAGATACAGAATCTGAAGCAGGCTCCAGGCTCTGAGCTAGCTGTCAGCACAGAGCCCAACATGGGGCTCGAACTCACAGACCTGTGAGATCATGACCTGAGCCAAAGTCAGATGCTTAACTGACTGAGCCAGGCACCCCTCTATTTTTTTTTTAATAATAGCCATCTTAATGGGTGTGAAGTGATTAAGGATGCTGAATATCTTTGTACGTGGTTATTAAACAATTGTATATCTTTTTTGGAGAAATGTCATTTAAGTTCATTGACTATTCATTGTCTTTGCAAACATTACACCACCATTGTTGATATCCATAAAAATTAAAATCTGAGAAATCCTTATCTCTGACTGCTTCCCTCTTGCATTGTATCTGAGCATACGTTGCTTCGTATTTACATGAAGTCCTTGAATTAGCACAAAACTTTTTATTCCAAAATCAAGTAGGGATAGTTTTTATTTATGTTTATATTTATTTTGAGAGGGTGGGGAGGAGCAGAGAGAAAAGAGAGAGAGAGAGAGAGAGAGAATCCCAAGCAGGCTCTGTGCTGTCAGTGCAGAGCCTGATGTGGGTCTTGAACCCACGAAACCATGAGATCATGACTGAAGCTGAAATCAGGAGTCCCACACTTAACTGACTGAGCCACCCAAGCGCCCAGATCAGTTTTTTTAATAGAAGAAATGTGAAGACGTGACTGGGTGGTGGTGGTGGTGGTGATGATGGTGATGATGATGATGATGAAGACAAGGATGTCTAATCATGATGATTGCAGATCACACACAGTGAGGTGTGATAATGAGGCACTTACAGAATGCTCTGTTCAGTGCTCTTTATGTATTAATTAATTCACACACACACACACCGATCTGAGATATGTATTATTATTCCCAATGTACAGACAAAGGAACTGAGTCACAGAGGGTTTAAAGTATCCAGCACTAGGTCATTCAGCTAGTAAATGGCAACTTGGATCCAGCCTCTAGGCCATATGGAAAGTATCCCCTTAAAAAAAATCATTTCCCAGGAACTCAGTGAGTCTGTGAGAGCCATAGCTGATCTTCCGAAATGAGCCGAGCCTAGGAGAAACATGGTCTGCCCTACAGAGTGCCTCTCCCGGCCCTGGTGAGATGCCCCATGTCCCCCGGCACAGCACAGGGTGAGTAAATGCTGTGAGGACAGAGACTGGTGTTAAACCAAGGCCCAAACTGACATTGCGCGACCAGTGCGGAGAGGTCCAGAGGGTCAAGGCAGGAATGGGGAAGCCAAGGTGCGACGCTTACCCAGGCTGAGAAGCCAGGAGAGGCCTGGAGAGAGGTGCCAACATGGTAGCAGCAAGAGAGCCTGATGCTGTCTGGAGGGCACGGGGCGCTCCTGTGACTCCCCCACTGGGGCCTTTACGCTGTCCACACTGGGACCTCCGGCTAGTTCCCACACTGATCCCGGACACAGAAGGCAAGGAGAGGCCAGAGGAAGAGGGAGGCCACTCCACACGGCACTTTTAATAGGCATGACAGCTTACTTACGAGGCTTGACATGGGCGGCTGCAAGACGATCAGATCTCTGCACCCACCTGCCAAATCTTTTTTTTTTTAATGTTTTATTTATTTTTGAGAGAGAGATAGAGACAGCATGAGCAGGGGAGGGTCAGAGAGAGAGGGAGATACAGAATCTGAAGCAGGCTCCAGGCTCTGACCTGGCTGTCAGCACAGAGTCCGACGTGGGGCTCGAACCCACCACCCGTGAGATCATGACCTGAGCTGAAGTCGGACACTTAACCAACTGAGCCACCCAGGCGCCCCCCCCCCCACCTGCTAAATCTTAAGAGTTTATAAAAAGGCCTTAATTCAGTTCAGTCACACATACGGTCCAGACGGTACCAACAGCGCCTTACTCTCTCCAGGCTCTGTCCCTGGAACACTTCCCACTGTGGGCCAACTCACGTTGCAAAGACTGGGTTGGCGGGGGAGGGGAGGAGCCTCTGATTGCCCAGGGCCACCGGCAGGCAATTCCACTCTCTGGATGACCTTGTCCAACCATGGGGACAACGCAAAATGTATTCCTTGGTCTGGGATTGTGTCCACTGTAAAAATGATACCAATCAACGAAATCACAGCACTGTTCTATCAGTCATCTACACCTTAGTATCAACAAGCCTTGGATCTTTCTAAGAGCAGATGTTGGTAAGGAGAGTGCCAAGAGCTGGCGAATGGGATACAGGAGGTCAGCTGAGAGCCGTAAAGGGAAGTGAAAGATGAGGAGGTGGTGTGTGTGGAAAAGGACTTCACGATTTTGTGTAGGTCCAGACCAGAACTCAGCATTTCCTTATTTTTTTATTTTTAGCAAATTAGATTGCTTCACTCTTCCCCAAATTCTGGACACCTGTCCCGCCGGTAGTGTGCACAGAGCTGTGCGTCGTTACCACTGCCGGGCTTTCCCTCCGGGTCCCCTGGCTAACTGCCGCGCCCGTCCCAGCTCTGCTCCAGCCCGGCCTCCTTGGGGAAGCAACTCCGCACAGGCCCCGCCGGGAGTTGCAGCGAGGCTCCGCGCCGCCGTGCGTTCCCCTGTTCCCACGGCACCCAGGGTGCCCGAAGCTACTTGTCCACGGGCTCATCTCTCTCCACACTTGACTGTAAGCTCCCAATGCCAGGGACGTAGATCCGTGTCCTCTGGGTCTTCCGTGCAATGTCTGGCGGACACTGAGTGAGTGCTTGCAGGATCCAGATATAGGAAGCATGCGTGCCTTCAACGGCCCACCGTCCGCTGGCCGCGTCATCAGCAGATTCACGGAGTCCGCAATCAGATTCCGTCTCTTCCTCTGCAAATGGGCTCTGAGCCCTCCGATGCCCTTGTCAGTAAATTTGCCTTCCTACGATGGCACTTCCTCCTTCATGCCTGCTCAGCTTTTTAAGATTTCAGGGACGACGGGAGCCTTGCCACACAAATATACAAATGAAAAAACAAATTGTGTAATTTGAAGATTAAGTAAAAATCTATGGAGAGCCACAATCTCTAACATTGTTGGATGTTTTACTGGGCTTGCAGCTCTGATTAATGAGCAAGGCATATTTTTTATATTTAGTTAAAGAGGAACAAACAAACTGGAGCCTTTGTGGCTTCGTCTACCCCACCCTCTCCCCGTTTTTAGAAGCAAATTGAGGACTAGGGAAGAAAATCAGATTGCTCTTTTTCTCTGACTCATTTAATTTTCAGGATACCTGGGCAGGCCCACTCCATTAGGTAACTGCTTTTCTAGCCTCAAATTTTGCTTCAGGGGTGAGATCTGAGAGAAAGCAGCGGGTGGAAGGCAGTCAATCCCAGAACTATCTAGATTTGGCTCCCCACCATTGATTTCTGGAATGATAATGGGAAACCACTTATCTTTAATGCATCTCAATTTTCTTTCCTGTAAAGGAACAGAATGCGCTGGATGATTTCTCAGACCCCATCTAACCTTATTTTTGTGATTCTGAGATGAGCATTTGCTCCAACAGGTGGGTTTAAAAGATGTGTGGGGCGTCTAAAGGATCATGTATCAGGCAGCAAATTTAAAAAACTCATGGTGTCAAAAACATCGAATGACACTGGAAGGACTCATATTTGTTTCTTCCAGGGGGAAAGAAATGCTCTTTGCTCCCATAGGGAGCTGCTGTTGTGTGGATTAGAAGTATAGTGGGGACATCTGCAGCCCTTTTGTCACTATGAGGAAAGAGCTCTCCCAGTATTGAGATATGTATGGAGCAAGTGGCAACAAGGGATGGAGAAAGAGCCCTATTACATTAAGCTCTGGATTTAGCCATACCTAAAGCAGTAATACTCTTGTATGTTGCCGTTACATGAGCCAAAACCCGCCCCTTCCTCCTTCTACTCTTTTTTAGCATAAGCCTATTTAAGGTAAGTTTCCTATCAGTTGCAAGTGAAATAATACTAGTATAGAGTTTGTGGCCAGGTTTTGTAGGAATATTTATTCACAGAAAAATACTGGAAGAACAAAGCCCAAAATATTAATAGTTGTTATCATGGGTGATAAGATTATCTACATACTTGTCAGTATTTTCTAAATTTTCCAAAATTATATATTATTGGCATGATTTTTAAATAGGGTTTTGACACGATGCCTTAAGAAACTGAGGAGACTTTTCTGTGTTGTGGAGAATCTTTTCTCTGTTTTGACTCTTTTATCAGAGGTTGAGATTTTTATTTTAATGTTTATTCATATTTGAGAAAGAGAGAGAGAGAGACAGTGTGTGAGCAGGGGAGGGGCAGAGAGAGATGGAGACAGAATCTGAAGCAGGCTCCAGGCCCTGGGCTGTCAGCACAGAGCTCAATATGGGGCTCGAACTCACGAGCTGTGAGATCATGACCTGAGCCAAAGTCCGATGCTTAACCTACTGAGCCACTCTGGCACCCCATGACGTTGAGATTCGATACATGATAGATGTTTCTTGTGGAACAGGTCGTTGCTCAGGCCCTGAATTCTGTGATGGGCCAGGGAAACTTTCTGTAAAGGGCCAAAGAGCAAATATTGGAGGCTTTGTGAGCCACAGACTCTTTGTAGCAACTGTCCAACTCTGCCATTGTGTCGTGGAAGCAGCCCTAGATAATTTGCAAATGAATAAGCATGGCTACGTTCCAATAAAACTTTATTTAGGAACACTGAAATTGAAATTTTATATAATGTTCACATGTCACAAAATATTATTCTTTTTTCGATTACTTTTCAACCATTTATAAATGGAAAAGGTGCTGTTAACTCACAAGCTTTACAAGGACAGGCGCTGGGTCACATTTGGCTTGTGGGATGTAATGCGCTCACTCCCTGCTCTCTAATATTGGGATTTCTATCATCACGCTAGTTTTTGCTGCACTTGGAGTTTCTGTGGACTTCCGAGTTGAGTGTCCATTAGGAACGATAATCTTGCAAGGCCTGGCATGGTTTATCAGCAAACCTCGTGGGGTTGGGAGTTGATGATGATGTCAGCATCTAGGTGGGCATTTGTGTTCTTCGCTTTGACCGAGATGCTTAAAGGAAACTTCCTGCGTTCTCGTCCCATGCTGGAGGCAGCACCCCCACACCACTGCTCAAGAAAGCAAGTCATGTGCTGTTCTTGGAACTGCCAAGCCCTATTTTGGAATCTGAACTTGAAGCCGACAGAACTTTACAGGACTTTTTGCTGCCAGATTGGTTTTTCTACTCCATAAAAATCCCTAAGCGGGAGAAGTTTATGTAAAAAATATTAAGTGATGACCATCCAATGGCAATTTGAGTTTATAAAAGAATATTCCATGTGGGAACATTTGTGAAGTTTCATCTTCAGAAGGAAAGGAAAAGTAAAGGGGGTTATGTCGATTGCTATCTTGGTGTGTCAGTTAAGAATGCTTCCAGCTATGACTAATGACAAACCTAAATTACAGTGGCTGAAATGAATAAGAGTGTCAGGTGACAGGAAGTGCAGAGGCAGGCATTGTTGTCTTGGTTCCGCTTCTCATCCCTGCAACTCTCATGGTCCTTCCGACATGAAAGCTGTTGAGGCTCTAAGCATTGTGTTCAAGTTCAGGGAAGGAAGAAGGAGAAGAGGTAGCACCGGCTACATTATCCTTCCCAGAAGCCCCCAGCAGACAACTCCTTCAGGGACATTGTAGAAAATGATGTCAAGCAGCTAATGACCCTGACTGCAGGGGAAGCCGGGGAAACGTGATTTGGCTCTCTCAGTCTCTATGCTGTGGCAGGGGGTTGAGGGATGGATGGCAATAGCGAAGGGAGTTAGGAAGAGCTGTTAAGTTGGCATAACATACACACAGTGCTAAAATAGTTCCCAATGGTAGGCAAGGCTATTTTAGCCTACACCAGTGGAACAGGCCACTCAAGGAAGCATGGGCTTCATCTGGCTTGTGCACTGTGGTATCTCCAGCTCCTAGCACATTGCAATCACTCAGTGAAAATTTGCAGAATGAATGAATGAATGAACCAATGATAAGAGTTCTTAGATGCTCATTGTTGATATAATCTATCCTTTTTTGTTTATTTTAAAATTTTTAATGTTTTATTTATTTTTGAGAGAGAGAGAGAGACAGCATGAGCAGGGGAGGGTCAGAGAGAGAGGGAGACACAGAATCTGAATACAGGCTCCAGACTCTGAGCTGGCTGTCAGCACAGAGCCCGACACGGGGCTCGAACCCACGAACCGTGAGATCATGACCTGAGCTGAAGTCAGATGCTTAACCGACTGAGTCACCCAGGGGCCCCTGATCTATCCTTTTTTGGACAACACTTCCAATAAAGAATTCTTTGGTTCACTTATGTCCCTGCAATCCTCACCAATGGTTTTAAGCTGCACCATATGCTAGAAGACCCTCACACACAACTCCACCAGCTGTCTCTATCCACAATATAAACCCTGCGGAAATTCTACCTGTTCAGAGACAAAGTGAGAGGAGGTGCCCTGTTTCTACCATCCTGTCCAGTAAAGAATGGAGCTTCTTTATGGCTACCTAGAGCCAGAAATCACGAGATGTATTAGGATACAGAGGATAAAATAAGGAAGGAAGTGTGGCTCATCTTCATCTGGCCCTTCCTCTGTTCCACACACTGTGCTGGGAATTTTACATTTGATTATTCACGCTTTATTTGACGAGGAAGAGAAAGCTCACACAATGAATTGTAAGCCTTTGTGAAACATCATGGGTTAAACAGAACAAGATTAAAAAGAAAGAAGAACATTTAAATTACCAAAAGCCAAAAACTGGTAGATGATGGTTAACAGTGGCAAATTGCCCGAGTGCATTAATTGTCACTTCTACCCTAAAGTGACCAGAGGAATTAAAAAGAATGACACATCAAATCAAAGAAATACCAGTAGGCAAAAAAAAAAAAAAAAAAAAAAATTTCATCACACTTTTGGGTTAGAGAGGGTAGATGGAGGAAGATAACTGAACAGATGCCCACTATTGGGAAAACCAACAAGAAGAATAGCTAATAATAGGGGCGCCTGGGTGGCTTAGTCGGTTAAGTGTCCGACTTTCGCTTAGGTCATGATCTCACGGTTCGTGGGTTCGAGCCCCACGTCGGGCTCTGTGCTGACTGCCAGCTCAGAGCCTGGAGCCTGTTTCGGATTCTGTGTCTCCCTCTCTCTCTGACCCTCCCCTGCTCACACTGTCTCTCTCTATCCTAGAAATAAATAAAAATATTAAAAAAAAAAGAACAGCTAATAATAATCTTGGTAACACGTATGATTATTGATTGATAATGATATTGATTGATTAATATATTGATTGATTATTATATTATCTCAGGGCTTTGTGGGCATCACCCCACTTAATACTCACCAAAACCTCACTGAGTAGCTGAGATTATTACCCCTCTTTTACAGATGAGGAAACTGAGTCACAGAGATATAACAGGATGCTTTGAAATTGGATCAATCAGAGAATAAGAATTCATGGAAATAGAAAATGTGATACTCCATGCAATGGAAAAAAGACAACCTCTTTAATAGATGGTGTTGGGAGAACTGGACGGCAACATGCAGAAGAATGAGACTAGATCATTTTCTCAAACCATACACAAAAATAAACTCAAAATGGATAAAGGACCTGAACGTGAGACAGGAAACCATCAAAACCCTAGAGGAGAAAGCAGGAAGCAACCTCCTTGACCTCCACTGCAGCAATTTCTTACTTGACCCATCTCCAAAAGCAAAAGAATCAAGAGCAAAAATAAACTATTGGGACCTTGTCAAGATTAAAAGCTTCTGCAAGGCAAAGGAGACAATCCATAAAACTAATAGACAACCCACGGAATGGGAAAAGATAGTTGCAAATGACATATCAGATAAAGGGCTAGTATCCAAAATCTATAAGGAACTCACCAGACTCCACGGCCGAAAAACAAACAACCCAGTGAAGAAATGGGCAGAAGACATGAACAGACACTTCTCCCAAGAGGACATCCAGATGGCCAACAGACACATGAAACGATGCTCAGCATCCCTCCTCATCAGGGAAATACAAATCAAAACCACACTGAGATACCACCTCACACCGGTCAGAGTGGCTAAAATGAGCAAATCAGAGGACTCTAGATGCTGGCGAGGATGTGGAGAAACGGGCACCCTCCTACACTGTTGGTGGGAATGTAAACTGGTGCGGCCCCTCTGGAAAACAGTGTGGAGGTTCCTCAAAAAAGTAACAAGAGAACTCCCCTGTGACCCAGCAATAGCACTGCTAGGAATTTACCCAAGGGATACAGGAGTGCTGATGCACAGGGGCACATGGACCCCAATGTTCATAGCAGCACTCTCAACAATAGCCAAAACATGGAAAGAGCCTAAATCAACTGACGAACGGATCAAGGAGTTGTGGTTCATCTATACAATGGAATACTACATGGCAATGAGAAAGAATGAAATCTGGCCACGTGTAGCAACGTGGATGGAACTCGAGGGTGTTATGCTGAGCGAAATAAGTCAGACAGAGAAGGACAAATACCATATGTTCGCACGTATAGGAGGATTAGGAGGAACTTAACGGAGAACCATGAGGGAGAAGAAGGGGAAAAATAGTGGGGGAGAGGGAGGGAGGCAAACCACGAGAGACTCTTGAATGCTGAGAACAAACTGAGGGCTGATGGGGGTGGGGGGAGGGGGGAGATGGGCATGGAGGAGGGCACTTGTGGGGATGAGCACTGGGTGTTATATGGAAACCAAGTTGACAATAAACTATTTGTAAAAAAAAAAAAAAAAAAGAAACAAAAAACAAAAACGTGATACTCCACATAAAATATTTTAACAATGCCTGACTCATAGTAAAAACTTAATCTGTGTTTAATTATTGTTTTGGACTAGTTTCTGGTTCTACTTTGCTTTTCTATTATTGTTTTGTGATCTATGTCTAGATTCAAGGCAGAGCACCCTTTATAATATAAGGTCTTACTGGACAACAGGGTAAGATTTTAGAACCCTGGATTATATCACAAACTCTCATCTAGATCCCTCTTTTGAAGGGAATGGACAATGAAGAGAGGCCAATCAATTTTCCTCGGGTCATGCAACCACTTGGGAAGTACAGCCAAGAACGGAGCTCTGGTTCTCTGGCCCCCAAGGTAATCTCTCCAGCTGTCTTTACTTGGTTCAATACTACAGTGGACACTTGGGTGGGTGGGATGGGCTCCTTTCAGGGAATACCCACTCCTCCTGGGTTCCATGTTGTCTTAAAGGGGACACCAATCACAAGGCCATTAGAGCACCCTCATCTCTTCTGGTCAATAAGGGGCCAATGACCTACACAAAGCCAATCGAAAACTTCCCTGGGTTTGGAATATGGACACTGGAATAAAGAAGTCACTTTTCACTAGGGCTAGTATTGGAGAGGGGAAAACATCTTTTTCCCTCACTTATCTTAGGTTCGTCAGCTGGGGTCCTGTAAATTGACAGGCAAAAGACAGGTCAATATGAGAAGAACAAACACATTTATTCAAATACGTATTGCCAACACACATGGAAGCACTCAATGATGAGTAACCCAAGGGGGTGGTTAGGATTTGGGCTTATATACCACCTGAGGCTCAACAAAGGGAAAGGAGGTTGGGGCTTCTGGGCAAGGGAGGCGAATTATAAAAAGGTGACCAGGAAAAGTATGACAAAAAATGGTGGTTTAGTAAGGTTTGTTATGCAGATTTAAGCTGGTGTCTTCTTCACTAGTAAGAGTTGCTAAGATCCACCTCCTCCCGGTACTTGAGGGAGATAACCTCTTGACAAATGGAAATATCCTTTATAAATGTACATTTCCTTTACAAAAGGACAACTCGAGCCCCATTTTTGGAGCTTTTCCTGCATCTGCTGACTCTCAAAGGTCTTTAGCTCAAAATAATCTATATGCAAAGAAACGTATTTTGAGGTGGCATATGCTGGAACCTCCATTTGTTAGGATCCACGGCAAGGGTGGCTTCATATAACCATTTACTGTATAAGTGTGAAATGAGGACAACCCAGACAATGGAAAGAGACAGACAACCTTGATAACGCCACTGAATGTGGCCAAGGGAAGTCCCTAGATGACAGCTATGCAACCGGCCCGGAGATCAATCAGTTTAGTGAGGACCGGAAACCAGAGGATTCCAGAAGGGAGGGCTCCAGGGAGAAAACAGGGATTGGTTATGTATTAATGCATTTGAGCACTTGGAGAATAATATGGTAGGCACCCGGTAGAACTGATGGCACACTTGGAAAAAAAAGTATGTATGGTACATAGAAAACCAAGCAAGTGACCAAAATAAGGCAATGAACGTCAGGAAGAACAAACAGTTGTACAAGAAGGGAAACATACGTCACATCACACTCCTTGGCTCAGCAAAGAACAATACCGACATAGTCATAATAAGGTCAAAAAATTGTGACATACCATATTGGTAGAATGGAAAGAGATAAAAATGTGGGAGAGAACAACAGACACAAATTTTCATGTACCGTAACAGGAAGTCAAAAGATAATGTCTAAAATGATAAACAGAAAAAGCATATTATTTACAAACGTGAAAGAAATACAAAAAGCACTAGGATAAGAGTTGAAATTTTAGATCAAGAAGCTTGGGAGTTTTGGTGTTGTTGACAGCTTTTAATGTGTAGTAAATACACATATCGTGTTAAAAAGAAAGCCATCGGGGCGCCTGGGTGGCTCAGTTGATTAAAGCATCCGACTTCGGCCCAGGTCGTGATCTCGTGGTTTGTGGGTTCGAGCCCCACATCAGGCTCTGTGCTGACAGCTCAAGGCCTGGAGCCTGCTTCAGATTCTGTGTCTCCCTCTTTCTCTGCCCCTCCCCCACTCGTGCTCACTCTGTCTCTGTCTCAAAAATAAATAAACTACAAAAAAAAAAAGGAAAAAAAAAAAAAAAAGAAAGCCATAGACCCAAAATGGCGTCACTTATGTTGGGCCATGTCATGAAACAGGCTCAATGCTTGACCTAATTATAGTTTCAACCTCCCCCAGAAATGTAGTTGTAACTGGTCAGTCAGGCATTTTCTAGTCAGCACCGATAGGCTAACATGGACCCTCTCCATCCCCCAAAGGGAGAAGTTATCCACCTAATGAGACCCTTTTGTCCCCAAAGGAAGGTGACCTTACCCCCAAATAATCCTTTTTTTCTGTTTCTGACTTCCTTTTCCTGCTTTTCCCTTTCTGTAGCCCCTTGGGGCTCCCCACTACTTGCTGGATAAGATGAAATGAAAATAAAGACATTAGATTTTCAAATTTACTTGGTTGAATTTGTTTTTTTAGCAACAGAAAAAATGTATATTTATATACAACTATATGTACTACTGTTTTACATATATATAGTGAATATATGTAAACATATCTTTATTAAAAATATAAATTTCAGGGGTACCTGGCTGGCCCAGCTGGTAGAACACCTGACTCTTGATCTCAGGCAAGCCCCAGGTTGGATGCAGAGTCTACATAAAAAAATATATATATATGTATCATATATCATATGATATATATATATATATATATATATATATCTCAAATAGTATGTGTTTTGGAAAAATATGACCTAATCAGTAGTCCCTGAGAAAACCAGAAGTGTGAGTTGTGTGGTGGCCATCAAAATAAACCAATTATCTTACTGCATTAAAATAAGGCAGCTATAAGCACAAGAAACAAAATACATATGCCCCTTAAAACATAAATTCTGTGTGTCAGCATGGAGCCTGCTTCAGATCCTCTGTCTCTCTCTGTCTCTGCCTCCCTCTCTCTCATAAATAAATAAATTTTTTAAAAAGAAAAAAACATAAGTTTCAGTGAATACAGAGAAACAATGATATAGAGAGAGGAAAAGGCAAGAAGAGTTTTCGTTAAAAGCAACCTCTTTGCAACAGAGCAACGCAAACAGAGGTCTTTATCTCCATAGTGGGGCTAAAGGGGAGCCAGCCCGTGAGCTGGGAGGACCCAGGCTCTCCCCAAGCCCTTTAGCACATCATATTCAAGGGCAGGGCGGAGATCTCAGTACTTAAAATTTTAAGCATCTTAAAAACAATCGCCATGTGTGCACGAATGTGTGTGCGTGAATTGGTGCCAGGGAAAAACAAAGGAAATTTCCATTTTTCAGGAGCTCGATAGTTTGAGGCCTTTTTCTTGCTGTATGCAATCCTGAGACTGACTCCCTGACCCTTTCTTTTTGATCTCGGTCCTCCAAAGTCCTGCCAATAATGCATGGGATGTTTGTGATGCTGTCAGTTCCACTGAAGGCCAGGAGAATATTCCGAAGTTGTGTAAACCACCAGAGAGGACTGCTGCCTGCCCTTCTGCCCAGGCTGAACTTCAGAACCATGAGGGGGGTAATGTGGGAACCCTCTGGTCTAGATCACCATCTCTAAGGACTCTGGAGGAGCCCTATATCCGGAGACCACATGAGGACAAAAGATCTGTATGAGAAAGGCGGACCCACGTCATGCAGCGTTATCTATACTCTAGTGTGTAAGTCAGGACCTCGGGTTGTGAGTGACAAAATCCTAGTCAGAACTAGTGAGTCCTAAAAAGAGAATGTATTCACTCTGCTAACTGGGGGGGTCCAAGGGGTAGCTGTGGTTCCAAACATAACTGTTTCCCAATATTCAGTCAATGGCATGTCCTTATCCTCTGTCTCTGTCTGTCGCCCTCTCTCCAGATCCAGCCTCATGTTGTTGCGGACGAAATGACACAAAGGACAAGACACACACAAAAGACAGACACAGACACAACTCCGGCTGGAGGAACAATTCTACGCAAGCCCCTCTTGCGGTTTATTTTATACCCCGGTAACTGGATACAAACTGAAATCTACAAGATGCATTCCTTTACCAATTAAGGGCCAGTAGCCAAACACATTTCAAGGACAGCGGGGAGCAAAGGGAGGGAGCGACCACAACATGTTGACTAAGAGGCCTGCTCACAACTCCAGCCTCCTCCTTGTTTCTAAGGACGGCATGTTCCCTCGTTTGCGAGCGGACCATGAAACTTGGATATTGTGTGCAGGCCTCCTGGCAGAGCACCCTGTTTGCAGGCATGCTTTGCCCACGCAGGGAGCCCCGTGTGCAGGCACATCCCCGCGTCCCTAACCGCGCTTTCTTGTGGTCACTGTCGGGCTCCCACACATGTGATCTTTAGCACACAGTCTCCAAGGAAGAGACTCTTTTTCAGTGGCCACAGAAATCCTAGAGAATGAGTTGTGGTCCCCTCTCCCCTCCACACACGCACACACGCACACACTCTCCTGAAACTATCACTGCCCGTATCTTGCACGAGGCCATGCTGGGTCATGAGCCCTGGGGAGGGATGGTGGGGGGCTCTGGATTTGTCAGCCCCACCCGGTAGGAGATCAACAGTTCCCAGTGCGCACCCGACCATCTGTTACCAGAGAAGGGGTAAGGACACATAAGCAGGCAGAAACTATAAAACTGCATGTTCCTAAAATATACATACGTACATATAACTTGAGCTTAACAATGACTAAAGCATAATTCCGTATTTAATAGAGTGTTACGCTTGTATTAAGTAATGACCACTGCTTCGGACGGAGTCGGTGAAACCCATTGCCGGGAGCGTGTGTCTTGAGCCTTCCACGCCTTCCCCGTCTGTCATTCCAGTCCCGCAGCCTCTGCAAATGCCCTGTTCAGGCTCCTAAGGGCATATTCCAGGCCATCCACAGAGCTCTCTGCTACTAATGCCGCGGCCTGAGATGACTCGGTCTCCTGCAATTGCTTCGAGAACATAGTTGACTTCATTACCTGCATTTCTCTGGCTCTTACTGTATCCTTGCGAGCTTTCACCGAGAAACCAGCAGGTGCCGGAATACAGGAAAGCCTGCTGGTCTTCAAAGGCGTTATTTTTATTTATTCATTCGTTTTTGGTACAGCTGAGGGCATTGGCTTTCTTCTAAGGCAGGTCGGTCCTGCGATGTCCCCTTTATGTTCTCGGCCCCGTTAGGGCAGATTTCCAGCGGGGGGCCACCCACCGCCCCCCATCCCGTGCCGCTCCTCAGCGCCACCCGGCCACCCTGCCGTGAGGGCTCTTCTTGAACCTGGGCGGCCCGTGACCTGGTGGACTACACGGCCCTCGGGGCTCCGGAAGTGACGCGCTTGCCCCTCGCTCTCTGGGACGCCGGCACCCGGAAGCCCCGGCCGCGCCGGAAGCGGCGCCAGGTCCGCAGGCCTCAGTCTTCCCCGCCCCCCGCCCGCGCCACGTGCGCGGAGGAGCCTGCCTGGAGGTGTCGTCGGGCCGCAGCTCTCGGGCCTTCGCGGCTGAGGCCTCAGACGTCAGGGAGCAGAGAAAGGCCCCGCCGTGACATTTCCCAAACTCCCAGCTCACAGAATGCCCGGGCAGGAGAACATGGTGCAGCCTTCAAATCACCGAGTTTGGGGTGGTGTGCGCGGCCGCAGTGGGGGCCGTCAGTAGCACGGACAAACCGTCCACGCAGCCAACCAAGAAGTGACCGCCGCGCAAAACTGTCCCGTGGTTCTGCCACATCCAGAAGGAATCCTTGTGGGGATTTACAGGTGACGCGGACGGGACACATGGAGTGCCAGGGCACGGGGTCTCTGGAAGGAATCTCATTTTAAACAATTTATTTATTTTGAGCGAGAGAGCTCGTGAGTGCGAGGGAGGGGTAGAGAGAGGATGTGGGAGAGGCGCCCGAGCAAGCCCCGTGCTCAGCGTGGAGCACAGCCGTGGGCTCATCTCGTGATTTGGCTCCACCTCGTGATGGTGAGATCATTTCCCGAGCCTAAATCAGGAGTCACGTGCTTAACCGACTGAGCCACCCAGGCGCCCCTGGAAGTAATGTCGTTTTACACGCAGGGAGACTGAGGCTGTGACGTCTGAAGCCAAGTCAAGCAACAGTTCTTTTCTTTTCTCTAGGGCGTCCGGTGTGGCCAAGTGATCCGTGTAAGGTGTCAGTCAGGTTGGCTAGACTAGGACCCCGTAGAGGCTGATGCATTTCGCTAGTGCCCTCATCAGAGGACAATTAGAAAGCTCCTTCACCATCCATGTCCGTGCTTCAGCTCCGGTATGCTTAAGAGCCAGCGAGGTAATGCTTTCTGCCTGGACCGAAGGGGTGAGCTTGCTCTTTGTGCAGGTGAATTCCTGGGGCCCAAACGAGAAATAAAATTCATACGCCCCGGGTCGGTCATCTTGGAAATACATTGATGGGTTCCTCAAACAGGCCGATCGGGGAGGTTTCGGTCCGTGGACACCATATTAACTTCATCAGTAGGTCCGGAGACTCAGGGGTCAGTCTCTGAGCGCGGACCCTGTTTTCACCCCTGACTCCCTCTGCCACCTTGGGGCAAATCGCTGATTTGGCTTCCCGAGTCCCTGGGTCTCATCGGGAACACTAAGGTCACAACAGTACCCGTCTTGCTGGCATTTAGCAGGATGGAGTGAAGTGTATACGGAGGGTTGAAAGCTGGCGTGACATGTGGCAAGCATTCGGTAACGTGGCCGTGATCACGTGATGTGACGGGATAATGCGCGGTTGATATAACCACGTTCTCATGCAAATTGCAGTACTGTCGCGGAGAAGACTGGGAGGGCTTTGGATCGGGAGCGCCTTCGTTCAAAGCCTGACTCAGTAGCTGGGAGATCTTGCCTGGGTGACTCACTCTCTTGATTGCCTCGGTTTTTGACCCTGCAAAACGACGGCAGTGCCTACTCATAGCGTTGTTGGGGGTTGACTTAAGTGAAGCCGGAGGCCCAGGCCCTTCGTGTGACAGTCCCCAATGAGTGTTAGCTATTTTTGTGGTCATCAGTCCTGTATTTTACATTTCGAAGATTTTCCTGACTGCTAATAGCTCAGATATTGCTGTTAGATCTAAAGGAACTGGTGTAAGTTTAAGACCCAAGTAGGATAGTGAGGGTGTAGCTCTGGTTTCCATCCTCCAGGTTGGAGGTTCTGAGGCTCCAGAAACGCTTTACGTCCTCGCAGGTAGTGTGTCTAAAATCTGTACGCATCCATCCTGGATTCCACGTGCAGCTAGTTCACCTTCATCTGCCCTTCCACTCGAGAAGCTGTCGGTCCGGCCCCAGCCATCTGCCCTTTGCCCCGCAGAGCAGCTTGGGCAAATGGAACAAGTGGGCGGGTGGGGCAGGAAAGAGCCCTAATTACGCCCCACGGAAAACACAGGGCAGAGAGGAAGAGCCTGGCGCTCGGTTTACAGCCGGAGAGGAGTGCCCGCTCCTGGAGGCTCACCCGGCAGAGCCCACAGGAAACCAGAGAGGAACTGAGTTCACCACACCAGGCACATCAGTGGCTCTAACTGGTCTGCTCTGAAGCAAAGTCTTTTAAAGCATGTCAGCAGCCAAAGACAAGAAAAGCATATGTCGTACAATATGTGTTACTCTGTCCTATAAGCTTGGAGATTTTTCTTTCCTTTGCATCCTTAAAAAAGTAACAGGCCGCTGTCCGCGGAGGTGCTCGCTTGGGGGTTAATTCACTCTCCTTGGAGGTAAACACTAAGTTGATCTGAAGGCCTGGTTTCGACCAGGGCTGTTTCCTTCAAGGGGGTTCTCTTTCCCTTTTCTCTTTCAAGATGGCGGGTTCAGGGACGCTACAGGCACTAAAAGTTCTCTCTTCTCCATGTTCTCCCTGGTCTCCAGGCGGCACCCGGGGACGCTGGGAGCTCCCTCAAGCTTTCTGCTCAGCCGTTTCCTGCCCTACTTTTCTCACCTGCCTTGGTGTTTCTACTCGTCCTCTGCCCATGGGATTCTGATCCCAAGAAGCAGTGAAGACCCTTTCCTTCTCCACGCGGTCTGTTGAGACTTCCCTATTTTGGCCTCAAACCTTTTTCTTCCTAGAGGAAAGGCTGCCAGAACGAGGGGGAGAAGGTAGAGGTGGGGGAGGAGGAAGAGGAGAAGGAGACACAACCCAGGGAACTAGAGGAAAATTCTTCAGAAGGCATTTGATGAACAGCTTCCTCATTATATCACAACCCTGGACACTTTCCTGGTGGAGTGTGGGAGATGTAAGCCAGCAAGGAGGGACTGGAGCCTTGAGCTGCCCCTGTGTCTGTCTTTTATGCACCCAGGAAAGTGTGGCGGGCGGCTCAGCAGGGAGATCAGGCCACCAGCCATTCTGACCTCTCCTGTGTAACAGTGGGATACTATGGCTCCCCACGCCCCATACCCAGAAGGTCATGATCTCATGGTTCATGGGTCCGAGCCCTGAGTTGGACTCTGTGCTGACAGCCAGCTCAGAGCCTGGAGTCTGCTTTGAATTCTGTGTCTCCCTCTCTCTCTGCCCCTCCCCCACTCACGCTCTGCCTCTCTCTCTCTCTCTCTCTGGCCCTCCCCTGCTTGCACTCTGTTTCTCTCTCTCAAAAGTAAACAAAACATTAAAAAAAAAGAGAGAGATCTATACAGATGTCTCCAGAAAAATGTATCTATATTAAATTTTAGGTTCTGGGTTCAGATGTTCTCAACCAGTCCGTTTGTGTGTGTGTGTGTTCTTCATAAAGAACCCACTGAAGTATTATTATAAGAAACACTGGACTCTGTCTGAACAACAGTCAGGATTTTAGACATGGACAGTGCTGGATGTTAGAGGGGATTATTCTAGATGCTCCAGCAGAGAAGCCCAGATAAACAAACAGCAGATATCAAAATGAATGCAGTGATATCAACGGCAGATTTTCTAAGGAAATCTTTGAGAACTGGTTCATGATTCTTGGCTCCTGTGGGATAATAAAAATTATGTATATTGGTCTCTGTCCTCTGGCTCTTGGCACAGAGCTCCTAAATCCTGCATAATTTCCTGTGTGATAAGGGCACTGAGAGCATCTTTTGTTCTATCTAATGTTTGGCCTTTGTACCTGGCTCATTTATCTATCTATCTACCTATCTATCTATTTTAATTTTTGTAAGTAATCTCTATACCCAACATGGGACTTGAACTCACAGTCCCAAGATCAAGAGTTACATGCTCTACCGACTGAGCTTGCCAGGTGCCCGTCTCTGTACCTGGTTCTTGACAGCAGGTACTAAATCCTTCAGAATTTCCCAGTTGGTAGGATGTTCTGTTCTATTGATGAGACTCCGGTGGCATCCTGGATGGGGGCTGGTCTCCAGGAAGACAACGGTTAGAGGCTTGGGATTTTTCAGCCCTTTGCTCTATTCTCCAGAGAGAAGAGAGGGGCTGGAAATGGTGTTAATGTTGACCAGGCCCATGTGAGGAATCGTCCATAAAAATCCCAATAGTTTGGAATTGAGGGGTCTTCTAGTTTGGGGAATACATTCACACTGGGAGGGTGATGTACCCCAAGTCCACAGAGACAGAAGGGCTGTACTCAGGACCCTCCCAGATCTCACCCTTTCTACTTCTTCAGCTGGCTGTTCATCTAGATGCTTTACGACAGCCCTTCATTATGTTTACCACATAAATGTTTCCTTGAGTTCTGTGAGCTGTTCTAGCAAATAATCGAATCTAAGGCAGAGGAGGTCATGGGAACCTTTGTTTTCTAGCCAAGATGGACAGAAGTTGTGGGTAACTTGAGACCCACTATAGTGATTGGCATCTGAAGTGGGGGCAGTCTTTTGGCTGAGCCCTTAACCTGTGGGACATGA